TGTAGTGAACCTAACCTGATGTCAAATCTGACCAGATGGACAGAAACTGTTATTTCATTGATCTGCATCCAGAAATACAGTTTGACCCATCCTGAGACTTTCTTTCTTGAATTAATCAAGTAGAAAAGACAATTCTCTATGATCATTACTATTTTACAAATGTTTTGATAATCAAATTGTGTTAGTTCAAACAATGTTTACAGGTTGAAGAGAACTACTCATTTTTATTTTACATAAACAGTAAGTAATGATTTTTTATTCCTCATTCAAAGAAGAAATCAGGTTAATATGCATTTCTTGATTTTTCTGTCTTCAATGAGCAAGTTTGTAAATGTGTGTTAGAGTTCGAGGTTTCGGTCAACTAAAAGTTTACTGAAAAGAAATGTCATGTTTAACTTTTACAGCAGATAATAGGAGTAGAGACTCCACGAAGTCTGAAGTTCTCCAATAATCTTTCTGTCTGTCACTAAAACAATCCTTGACTTTGATAACACCTTACATCACAAACCACACCTCTTTTCTGGTCCATCCACCAATTAGAAAAGCTCTCAAATGAACCGGAAGTCGACCCTTTTAAATGTGGCAACTTCCCAGTTCAACTCAAGGCTGAGCTAAGCGAAGCTAAGCTGGTGCGCTCTCGGATGCAGCTCATGGAGTTTTTGAGAGCTTGAAAGTTTTCCTGGAGAAGAGTTCCAGACTTTAACTCTCTGAGCTCTTGGATGCTAACACAAGGCGTCCAGGATGCTTCTATTGGAATCCAGAATCCAGAGACGATTTTGGGAATTATAACTTCTGTTTGGATAACCTCGCACGACTCTCGAAGTATTTTAGCTGTTCTCAACGGAGACGCTGAAAGAGTCAAAAGAAGGACTTCGACCTGACATATCATCAACCAGGTAAAAAGTTCTACTTCGACCAAGCGTACCGTGACCAAGCTGAGATCTGAAGGAGCGTGCACGTTTCTGGTCAAACAGATAAATTCCCTCACACATCTCTCTGTAAGATAAATCTCCATTTTCCATCTTAAACTCTCCTTTCTCCTAAAATCATTACAGATATTTTAGAAATGTCTGAAGTAAAGTTCTCAATCACCGCCGTGTGATTGATGTCTGCTGTTCTGTGAAACTAGCCATGTTATTGTTTTCATTTTTGCCAAATTAATGT